TGCTTTTTTTTTGCTTTTTTTTTTTTTTGGTTTCCATTTGCTTGGTAAATATTCCTCCATCCCTTTATTTTGAGCCTATGTGTGTCTTCTCACGTGAGATGGGTCTCCTGAACACAGCACACCAATGAGTCTTGACTCTTTATCCAATTTGCCAGTCTGCGTCTTTTCATTGGGGCATTTAGCCTGTTTACATTTAAAGTTAATATTGTTATGTGTGAATTTGATCCTGCCATTATAATGTTGGTTGGTTATTTTGCCCATTAGTTGATGCAGTTTCTTCATAGCATCAATGGTCTTTACAATTTGGTATTTTTTTCAGTGGCTAGTACCAGTTGTTCCTTTCCATGCATAGTGCTTCCTTCAGGAGCTCTTGTAAGGCAGGCCTGGTGGTGACAAAATCTCTCAGCATTTGCTTGTCCATAAAGGATTTTATTTCTCTTTCACTTATGAAGCTTAGTTTGGCTGGACATGAAATTCAGAGTTGAAAATTCTTTTCTTTAAGAATGCTGAATATTGGTCCCCACTCTGTTCTGCTTGTAGGGTTTCTGCTGAGAGATCCACTGTTAGTCTGATGGGCTTCCCTTTGTGGGTAACCTGAGCCTTCTCTTTGGCTGCCCTTAACATTTTTTCCCTCATTTCAACCTTGGTGAAGCTGACGATTATGTGTCTTGGAGTTGCTCTTCTTGAGGACTATCTTTGTAGTGGTCTCTGTATTTCCTGAATTTGAATGTTGACCTGTCTTGCTAGGTTGGGGAAGTTCTCCTGGATAATATCCTGAAGAGTGTTTTCAACCTTGGTTCCATTCTCCCCATCACTTTCAGGTACACCAATCAAATGTAGATTTGGTCTTTTCACATAATCCCATATTTCTTGGAGGCTTTGTTCATTTCTTTTCACTCTTCTTTATCTAATCTTGTCTTCTTGCTTTATTTCACTGAGTTGATCTTCAGTCTCTGATATCCGTTCTTCTGCTTGATCGATTCAGCTATTGATACTTTTGTATGCTTCAGAAAGTTCTCATGCTGTGTTTTTCAGCTCCATCAAGTCATTTATGTTCCTCTCTAAGTTGGTTATTCTAGTTAGCATTCATCTAGCCTTTTTTCAAGGTTCTCACCTTCCTAGCATTGGGTTAGAACATGCTCCTTTAGCTTGGAGGAGTTTCTTATTACCCGCCTTCTGAAGCCTACTTCTGTCACCTCGTCAAACTCATTCTCTGTCCAGTTTTGTTCCCTTGTTGGCAAGGAGTTGTGATCCTTTGGAGGAGAAGAAGTGTTCAGGTTTTTGGAATTTTCAGCCTTTTTGCGCTGGTTTCTGCCCATCTTTGTGGACTTATCTACCTTTGGTCTTTGAAGTTGGTGACCTTCAGATGGGGTCTCTGAGTGGATGTCCTTTTTGTTGACACTGATGCTATTCCTTTCTGTTTGTTGGTTTTCCTTCTAACAGGCCCCTCTACTGCAGGTCTGCTGGAGTTTGCCAGAGTTCCACTCCAGACCCTGTTTGCCTGGGCATCACTGGCGGAGGCTGCAGAACAGCAAAGATTGTTACCTGTTTCTTCCTCTGGAAGTTTTGTCCCAGAGGGGCACCCACCAGAGGCCAGTTAGAGCTCTCCTGTATGAGATGTCTGTCTGCCCCTACAGGGAGGTGTCTCCCAGTCAGGATACACGGTGGTCAGGGACCCACTTGAGGAGGCAGTCTGTCCCTTATCAGAGCTTGAACACTGTGCTGGGAGATCTGCTGCTCTCTTCAGAGTTGCCAGGCAGGGATGTTTAAGTCTGCTGAAGCTGCGCCTACAACTGCCCCTTCCCCCAGGTGCTCTGTCCCAGGGAGGTGGGGGTTTTATCAATAAGTCTCTGACTGGGGCTGTTGCCTTGTTTTCAGAGATGGACTGCCCAGAGAGGAGAGGCAGTCTGGCCGCAGCAACCTTGCTGAGCTGTGGTGGGATCCGCCCAGTTTGAACTTCCCAGTGGCTTTGTTTACACTGTGGGGGTAAAACCGCCTACTCAAGCCTCAGCAATGGTGGACACTCCTCCCCCTATGAAGCTCGAGTGTCCCAGGTCAAGTTCAGACTGCTGTGCTGGCCACGAGAATTTCAAGCCAATGGATCTTAATTTGCTGGGTTCCGTGTGGGTGGGACCCACCAAACCAGACCACTTGGCTCCCTGGCTTCAGCCTCCTTTCCAGGGTAGTGAACAGTTCTTTCTCACTGGCATCCCAGGTACCACTGGAGTATGAAAATAATCTCCTGCAGCTAGCTCAGTGTCTCTTCAAACAGTCACCCATTTTGTGCTGGAAACCCAGGGCCCTGGTGGTATAGGAACCAGAGGGAATCTCCTGGTCTGCAGGTTGCAAAGACCATGAGAAAAGCACAGTATCTGTGTCGGAGTGCATGGTACAGTCCCTAATGGCTTCCCTTGGCTAGGAGAAGGAGTTCCCCAACACCTTGTGCTTGCTGGGTGAGTCAACGTCCCACCCTGCTTCGGCTCACCGTCCTTGGGCTGCACCCACTGTCCAACCAGTTCCAGTGAGATGAACCAGGTACCTCAGTTGGAAATGTAGAAATCATCCACCTTCTGCGTCGATCTCACTGGGAGCTGGAACCCAGAGCTGTTCCTATTCGGCCATCTTGCCAGCAATCCAGAGAGATCCTTTTAAAAGAGAAGTTGTACCATGTCCCGCTTCTGCTCAAAACTATCCTCTAACTCCCATCTCACTTAGAGCAAAAATCAGATCCTTCACCACACCCTCCAGGCCCACCTGCTCTGGCCACAGTTGTG